CCTTCTACGCCTAATTTAGAAAATGATTCTATTTTTCTCTTTTGTCACAGTCAATATGCAACCCGGAGAGTAACAAGGAATTCGATCCGTTATCTAATGTCCGATCTACAGATGTTACAATCTCTTCTCCAAATCCACCCATCTACTTGTCATCAGTCAACAGTTCAGATAACATTTCGAAATCAAAATCTTGTGTGCGTGTAGATAATAGAATGATTTTAGCATGATTTTCGTGGAGTCCAATTCATATAAGACACATGACTGCGCTCCTCTGTATTGTGGTTAACTTGCGGCTAAAACCCGAAATTAGTCTTTCATTGGTCATATCAATCGGGGTAACCGGAAATTACCAGCTAATCACACAACACAATTAAACTTAGGTTAAAATAATGAGTAGAACTTTGACATATGTTGTTCTTCACCCTATTTACTTTTCCGAAACTCACCTCAATATCAGTGAAAGTCGTCACTTTGAAGTAGATCCTGTCGCAAGCAATATATGGCAAATTTCTTGACGGGTATATTAGTCCCTTGAATATACCCATTATATTTTACATATCATGATCTTTAGATCCAATATATTCTCAGGATCTACTAGTGTAACTTTCAATGTAGGTGCCCATAAAAGCGGCAAAGCCTGGGTTCAAATGCTGAACCAGAATTAATCTCTACTAATCTATCAGATATCTTGTGCAGTTAATACCACAAACATAATCACCTAAATTGTCTCCAAACAGTTAAATGTCAGGAATTGACTTAATTGTAGTGGACAGATTCAGCAGTATTTTCACCCATGTCATTAACTCAATGATAATAAATCGACACATTTCTTCGTTATTAACTTTGTTTTTTCATGTGTATTTGCTAATATATATGCTTTTTGCATAATTATTATCATACCATATCCTATGAGTTCATATTCCTTTTGTCAGAAGCTTTCGTTCAACTCACTATTTACCCGGTACAATCCAGCGTTTCTTATTTTTAATCGAAAATTAAGCCGAGTACCAGAAACCTACGGAAATCGTAAAATAAAAGCACATATTTTATGGATTAACTGAGGATGTACGTAACAGGTTAAAGAAATAAAGGAATAAGGTATCGACGAAAGTTACGGAAGATATGAAGCTTAAGTTCATAGAACTTCTAAATTAAGTAATAGTGCGCTTTTCTCTTCGAGAAACACTTGAGAAATACGTCTCTAACTACTTCAATATCGCGTCATCCAAAACGTAATTACGTGCACTGTCTGTAGGTCCAAAATTCCGTGCTGCCTCCAGCAATGTTAGTGAGCACAGCACAATAATTCAGTATGATAGCCTGTTTCTTCAAACGAAAGACCCAATATCTGTATCCAACAAAGCACGTTAAAAATTCAAAACAATCATTGAAAGTTTTAATTATTTCATGATTATACTGCCTAATCAATAATATCTTTCGTGGACGTCACACTCATGTCCACATTTACTCATCAAAACATAAAAATTAAAAATCTGATACTCAGTTACTTCTGAGGAACACATTCAGGCTAAAGATCGAATAATATATTAAAAGTTACTAAACACAGGTTCTGCATAATGTCCACGTCTATGAGGCTTAGCCATGCCGTTCCATTGAATTTATTGAACGTTCCCGCATTCATCATTATTGACCTTCTCTACACGTTAAATTCTGAACATCTATTTTCCTAGTTATTTTATGTTCAGCTTTGAGGGTTGTGTGGTTACGACCAATACCATCACAGATACACTACTTCTGATTCATTTGATCCCGTTTATTCAGTATCAAGTGTCAACGTAACCGGAAAAAAGCCGACGTCTCCTCTCTTTTTACAAATGTACCTTTAACGGAAACAGTCTATTATATCATTATATTAAAAATAACAAACGTCTTTATTTCAGTACATAATCTGAAAGGAATTATTCTTCTATGGACTTTCAACGTCCAATTTAAATTTAACAGCAAGTTTTGGAGACAAATTGACGGCCTAGCAATGGGGTTATCACTCAAAAAATTTCTAGCTGCCTGTTTAATTGATGATCTGGAAAACAATATGTTAAAACCAATAATTGAGAGCCATTTATAGAAGAGATGCTTAGACAACATTTTCACTATGTGGGATAAAAATATCAACGTCAACGACACCCTGAAAACATTTAACATATATCATCAATCAATCTTATTCACAAGAGAATCAGAGTCGAATTCAGAGTTTTACTCCCTAGATGCTTTAGTAAAAAGGAGACACTACTGTTTCCTACAATGATCGATATGCAGCAAGTCAACATCGAATGGTTGGGTCCCACTGAAGTAAAAGAGGAATCTAATCTATTCTCTCTGTTCAAGGGCTAGACGATCTGAATCGAGGATACAATTGATACCCAGCTTATTAAAATATTTCAGACACTGACCAACAATGGACATACACCTGTATCCAGTTGGAAAAGGCTGAGTCGAAAAACGGCAGCATGAAAAACTAGCCGCGGCAACAAACAAAACTTTTCATAAATACTCAGTTTGAAGGAGACATTGCGGAAAAAAATCTGAAAAACAGACTTTCAAGAATTCTGAGTAAAACGATCTATTTGCCTGAACTTCGCAATATGTTTCCTGATCAGTCTATGATTCGAAATTTTGTGGATGATAAGCATCCGCTTTGTGCTAAATCAATGCGCATTTATCTCTTTGCTTGGTAATTTGGAGCAGGTTATACCGGCCGCAAATCCTAGTTTATATGAAACTCATTTCAGAAGATTACACTGCCTACATCTCCGAAGGATTAAAAAAGTCATTCAAAAGCTCAGTCTTTGGGAATCTAGTCAATTCGGGCCACTCCAATCCATCAGAATCCCTCTTTAGAATAACATACAAAGTCATGGGAGTCGACTTAATAGGACTGCAATTGAAAAGCCTATGTACAAAAGGGGCCATTGCTATCCACCAATCTAAGCTTAACATTCGCATACAAGGACAGTATGTCCAGTCTATCATTCTTCCATTGTCATAACCTTTCTATTTATCTGCTGTTATAATTTTAATAACTGTTCCTAAATGTTTCACCTTGCCACTTTTTCGCTCGACGATTTTCACATAATCTCCTACCAATATCTTATTTTCGATTCATAAAAACATACCACTTCAAGTTTTCCATTAATTAGCACCTTTCTATCTTACTATAGAAAACTATTTAAGCAAACAAAAAATTGATTATAAATGCGGTTGTACCATTCAAGTATGTGAAATCGTTTAAATGGAAATGTTCTTCGCTGAAGTGCTTTCATACTTCTTCAGTGACAAAATGTTTTTTTCGTTATTCATAGTTTACTCTCAACCTATTATTCACACTGTCCCACACTCAGCTACCTTTGGTCCTGTCTTGTATAGCTTTTTATTTTATGCTTTGATTCTGTTTGGTGTGCTTGTGTATAAGTAACGTACGCTTGAAATATAGTATTCATACAACGGAGGCTGATTATTGTGCTCTAGACTCAACTGGCGGGGAAAATAAAGAAGGAGATATATCGGGGACTGATAAGGACTTGGAGTTGAGTCAGGAATACTAGTGCTGGTTGTCTTAACACTTGTTAGTTAGGAGACTAGGCCATAGGACTCGATATTCTGGTTGTTGGTTTTTGTCACGTGATATCAGATAGGACCGTAAGTTCTAACACTCAATATAACAGGTCTTAGAATCATTTCGAGCGAGTTGACAGTTTTCGCCTTCTTTCATTTCTGTGTGTATACTGGACATTAGGCTTATAACCGATGAGTTAAAAGAAAAAACAAAGCTTTTTAATTATACTTTTGCTACTTTCAATGCTATTGAATGACTAAAGAAATTAATCGATTGATCAGCTATATGAATATATCCGAGTCATCATTTTACACTGATTTCAAGCTTCGACGTCCAGTTCCAAACACAGCTACCAAACATTCCGACACATAGGGAGGCATAACTTTTGTGTTTTATACCAACTATAAATCACTAACAAATAAGTCAAATGACGGACCTAATAACCATTTGTTCACCTGACATTTGTTCTCAGTACCGCCATCATGTTTGAAAGATCGGTCAACAGATACACCCCGGAAAGTGAATCTAAATACCCCTCAACGATTTACAATCAAGTTTAAAGGCTAAAGGAAAAAGGAAAAAAGACATAGAGAAGTTAAAATCTTTCTATTAACAACGGTAGTTTGAGACTGAAGCAGTTACTATGGCGATTGAGAACTTTAAACAGAACTAATAATCAGGTTGAACTGGACTTCACGTTTTGGCTTGTAGTACTATCAGATTGTCTTATGTTCTTTGAAGATCAAAGGAATTGTCCTGAATGGTAGGTTTTCATATTGTACATCGCGTTCATCCTGCAATTCACTTTGTTTCACGTCTTGGTGATTATCCCATTGATTCATATTCGTTTCTAGATGTGGTGCAAGTGTTATAAGTTTCAAAATGTCGGTTGACGTAGGTCTAGAGTAATAAAAGGAACAAATATGGAGTCAGTAGCCTTATACGTATTCGAACGAAGCGAAATTTAGAATAAATTTTATATGAGTCTCTTAGGTGGTTGCTTATGATGGTCGCGCTTTCTATAAACAATAAACCTTGGCCGCATTCTACCATAGTTGTTGCCTCTCTTCCACACGAAAGAGTATCGTTACTATTTATAAAACCAATAACTCATGGGCTATAGTAATTTTACATGGAATTTTTTCTTTTAGAAGAAGCGTTTTTGAACATAATATCGTTTTTACTGAATGTTACTCAGTTTTTTGTGCCTCAGACAACTGAGATCCGAGCTAACATGTATACAACGCATAGCTAAGTGCTTGGGTGTTGGATATTGAACATTGAGTTCTTTGTTTATCGACTTCACTTTCTGACTTATTTGATGCCTTCATTGACTCCAGCCCATGTAGGATTATTGTGATGTATTTTGTAGTGCTGCTCTATTCATCTCGGTCATTCCGATAAATATCTCTTTTAAAGTCAAAAAATGGTTATTGGCTGTTGCACACTTAATAATATTTCGGAAGATGCCAAAACACGAAGCGATGCAAATAAGCAGATTGAGAAATTGATTGAAAAGGAGAAAAAGAATTTTAAGTCTACACACAGACTCCTCCTTCTGGGTATGCTTGATAATTGAAAGTTGTTTTTAACTGATAGGTGCTGGAGAGTCTGGGAAATCGACCATTGTTAAGCAAATGAGGATATTACACATTGATGGCTTTTCAGAACGGTAAGCTTTGATTCACCCTTGTTATGAATTACTCCAGAGAAAAAAAAGAAAAGATTGATGCAATCCGGAAAAACCTCCGTGACGCTATCTGTGTAAGTTTTCCCTTATCATTTAAGTTTGTCAGTCAATAGCTGGTGCTATGAGTTCTTTGAAACCACCAGTAGAGCTTGAACTCAGTGAAAACAAAAAGTTGAGGGATTATATACTGGAAACTGCATCTAAACCTGATTTTGACTATCCACCGGTACTAACTTGTTATGTAGTATATTTGTCTAGGAGTTTTTCACATATTGCGCCAAACTATGGAAGGATGGAGGTATACAGGAAACGTTTGAAAGATCAAATGAATATCAACTAATTGACTGTGCGAAATAGTATGTTGCAATTTTTTAAATGTTTGCCAGTTTCCTTGACAAGACTTTAGAGGTCGGCGCTCCAAACTACATCCCATCTGAGCAGGATATTCTGCGCTGTCGTGTACTAACTTCCGGAATATTTGAAACCAAGTTCAGCGTAGATAAAGTTAATTTCCATATGTTTGACGTCGGTGGACAGAGGGAAGAGCGCCGAAAGTGGATACAGTGCTTTAACGATGTCACTGCAATCATTTTTGTCGCTGCTTGTTCTTCGTACAACATGGTCTTACGAGAAGACCCTAGCCAAAACCGTGTAAAGGAGTCTTTAGAACTTCTTGCTTCCATATGGAACAACAGGTTTGTCTGTATAACGTTTTTAGACCGAATGCTTTCTATTAGAACTCTAACCGATCCATAATTATAATTTTTCATTGGTTTATCAATTATCCATATGTTTTAAGACGAAGAACTTGATAGCTGAAAGATCTAGCTAAGTTGAGTTCTCTGCTCATTGTACTGTTTCCGCGTTTGTTCAGACTTTTGTAGGGTAGTTGTTCTTTAATCAGTACAAATTCTACTGCAAATGTTAGTTAATATGTAACTATAGTATAAGCTGGCGTAAGCTAAGTCATCAGCTTAGCTGATTAATAACTCTGATTCACACTAAGCTTCATTGAGCGTCTAAGGAATTGGTACTTTGAGCTCCATTTTTATCATTGCTAAGAAATATGTATAAATATGTGCCCAACAGATTTAAGACATTTACGAGATCAACCGTTTCCCGATCGCTGGGTAATAAGTAAATTTAATGGTAGAAAATTCGGAAGTCCTAGTTCCTAAATAACATCACTCATAACTTGTCAAGAAATATGCGGTTGCTCATAACCTACCTAAGGTACAAATGCTGATCGTTCCACTCCAAAATCCCTCAACTTCCTGGTAATACGCCAGCTGCTTCTTAGATCGGAAGTGTTTTTCCTGTTTTTGGTAGGAATCTCTGTTGGCGTCTCGAAAGCTCTTGGGTACGTCTATTCTGTAATTCGAACTTTTTTATCATCGCTATCCTGCTTGGTTTAGCTCTCTGCATTTATTTTCCCAATACAGCTCCTTTGGTTTTTCTCTGTTTCTTTTATTGAGATATAATATTTTGGCCCAAATAAATAAATAGTTACGCCTAGGTCCAGTGTTTGCATGCTTGTGATCTCTACGCGATCCACTTATATCCGACGAAGCGGTTGCTTATGAAGCGATATAATGCGACATTTGTGAAAGAAATCACTGAAATATTTAGATCATAAACTGACCAATGTTAGAGCACCATTGAGAATCTGAAAGCACTGAATAGTCGTTTCGCTTTAACTTCATTGGATACCGGCTCATCTGTGTGGTTAGGTGTTCACGCATCACTGAAGGTCCTAGGCTCTAGTACTGCGTACATGGTCGTGGACGTGCATCGCTGAGGAGTCATATACCAGGATGAAACAGTCATCAAATGCTTCCAGATTTTCAATGATGGTTTTACAGTGATCGGTTCATGATCTCAGTAGGGAGCTCAGCAGTCTTCACAATCACATCTTGAAATATTGCTATGTTAAGTATCCGAATAATTAAACCAGACGTATGCAACATATTTTTCATGTCCGAAAGTCGGGTGGGTTCATCGGCAATACTAGAGTAGTTCCTTCAATCGTGTTGAATCACTGACCACTAATCCTACTAGTTTCAAACCTCGAATGGTTTTCAAATACATTTTAAGAGTTCCCAGATTTTTCCTGTAATCTTTAACAATGCTATAATGTTATGTGACAAGATTGTCTCGGTTGATCAAGTTTCCCTACCGAATAAACACAGGGGATGGAGCTATCAAAGACAAATTCTGGAGTAGTAGGATTAGTAAGAGTATCAGTGGTAGTCAGGAAAATTATGTATAGACTATGTAATTCTAAAAGAAGAAACAAGTTTGTGGGATGAAAAAGTATTAGGTGACTCAAGATCTCAACGAGAAGGACCAGAGAAAGTATTTGTCTCTGTCTCATTGCGAACGATCCTGATCCATGTAATTCAAAGTCTCGAACTGTTAATTACGTGTACGTCATAGACTTACGTTTTGTTATATCACATACAGAATACGGGTTTTCGAAAATGCTTTAACTGATATCAGAAAATGTTACATATGTTCCATTTATACGTCATATACGTATATATTTTATGGTTTTGGTTAAAGAAGCGTTTGTGTTTGTTTGGTCCCCCCTTCAAATTTCAACATCAATATTCTGTAATCGGTGAGCTGTACGTAAAGCGTAAACTACTGCATCTTAATGGACGGTTCAACAGAAAATGGTCGGTGATATACTTAAGCCTGTTAACTCCCTTATGGGGCATACGCCACCGACTAAGAATCGCTAATCGAATCTGTCCTGAGCTCATTGTAGCCAAGTGCTGTCCGTCCTTTAGATAACCTTCGTATGTTATTTGATCTGCATTTATCCTCCTGGGGATTCGAGGTTAGGGCTTGCCTTGTGATGCAGTTCGGTGATTTTCGTGGTGCATTATACCCCCAAATGCCATAGTACGGCCAAGTGTGGTGGGAGTCAACTGTCCCTTTCAAAATACTCACATGGCCATGCGTATACACCCACTCTCAGGGAAGTCCTACTCACTGCATGCTCGCGTCTGGGATGCTGTTTGAGAAATTGAAAGAACGAGAAGCGAATGTCCGGCGTCTCAACTGGGTTAGTGGATAAGAGTCTACCTAGGGGATTTGGAAAACCCTGATTTTGAACCTCCCGACCGTAGCTGCTACCTTGACGCGGTGGTCGGGCTTGTCTATCGTGATGACCCAACCGAACTATATTGACTGGAACATATGTTCCTGTAGGTTCTAACATGCCAGGCAGGTCGATTGGAGAACGGTAAGACTAAAAGCAGCAACTCAAGGTCTGAGGGCAAAGTCGTACTGCTGACTGTAGAGGGGTGTGACAGCAGGAAGGTGTTTCCCTCGGACAACCATAATCTACAGCGATGCTGCCTTCTCACAAGGAAGGAAGGGGTCAGAAAAGGTCGACCCTAAAAACGTCACACCTTACCTCACGGATTTCCGTCTCCGGCGGTAAGGCCCTTTGAAGAACGGGGCTAGCATGTCAAAAAACCACACTAAAAGGCCGTGCGCGACCGGCCTCAAGCAGTTGTCCCCTGTGCTCTACGGTCACGCTCCCAGGCCATTAAGGCTGACATTAATCCAAATTCCTTTTCAGGTTCTTCAAGAAATACCCTTGCACGGTGTGGGGAGCCGAGAAATGACACCAGCCCTCATACCCGTAACAGCACACGAGACCAAGTTGGTCACATTCAAATCCTTTTTATACCTTCTCACGTCTCTTTATCACCTCGCACCGCTAGGGTAAACGATTCAAGTACGCGGACGTTATTCCTGGTCTCCTGAAACCATGCTCCAAACTACATGTAGGAGCTTTTGACTTCCGAACACTGTGCCAAATAGGACAACAGGCTTTATTAGCTAGGATTTAGAATCCCGCGTCATCGATGCATGCTGTATCTCCGAAACACGTATACAGGATCCGAGAAGCGTCATTCATTTGGCCTCACCATATCAAAATAAAGAACCAACTCGATTTACGCTTTGTGTGTCTGGAAGTTCTGATGCTGCTTCCCGTGGCCTCACTGGTGTAGGTATAGCATTGAGTCCTAGGGCAGAACTAGTTTTCTTAAAATGGATCCCAGTAGACAGTCGTTTAAGCGCTGTCCGATTAAACGGAACAGTAAGGATCCGAAAAGATAGGGACACTCGTCGCTGCTTCTTCATCGTCTCTGCCTATTCTCCCACTGACAGCAGCCCAGATGATGTAAAAGATGAGTTTTGCAGAAAGCTTTCCGACCTCCGAAAAACTAGGCGCTCTGATGTAGTAATAGTGGCTGGTGACTTTAATGCTCAAGTAGGTAAACTAAGCGAAATGGAAAGACACCTAGGTGGATCTTATGGTGTCGTGGCTCAAAGAACTGATAATGGCGACCGTCTGTTGCAGCTTTGCTCAGATAATCGCCTGTTTTTTGCAAATACTAACTTTAAGCATAAGGAAAGACATCTTTTAACATGGAGACCCCCTAATTCGTCCCAACGCTGGACCCAAATAAATCACACCGCTATCAGCCACCGACGGAGGAGCTCGATAGAAGATTATCGCTCATTCTGGAGCACATGCTTAGACTCAGATCATGCTCTAGTGCTAGCGCGTATTTGCCTGCGTTTTACTGGACGTAGGAAAGCCGCTGCAAGTAAACCTTTTAGGGTCCTACTTAATGATAGTCAAACTAAGAGTATATTTCAGGAACAACTAGAAAAACAGTTGGGCAGCCATGTATGTGATGCCTACCCCGAGGCAGCGTGGAATGACATCCGAAAAGCTGTGGAAACAGCAGTGATGTCTGCTAGTACGGTAAATCATAAGGTTAGGGAGAAACACTGGATCTCAGCAGCATCTACCGCACTGATCGATGCCGGAAAACTCATTACATCTGGCTCTGAACATAACGAAGAGCGAAGTCAGATTAAGCGGAAGCTGGCAAGAAGCCTACGCAATGATCGCGAACAGTGGTGGGTAAAGAAAACGAGAGAGATGGAAAAGGCAGCGGCAATAGGTAACTTCAGACTTGTTAAGGGAACTGGTATTAGGAACCCGATTGTTAGCGAATCAATCTCAGAAAAAGCTGGACATATTATACATTCTCAGTCCAGGAGATTGGATCGATGGGCAGAACACTTTAGGGATCAGTTCAACCGGCCTTCAGCCACACTTCGGTTTCCCACGATCTCCAGTCAGCCTGAATGGCAAGTTAATGTAAGTCATCCGACTCTTTACGAAGTTGAAAAAGCCATAGGAAATCTGAAACGAGGGAGAGCAGCAGGCCCTGACAGGTTTACTCCTGAGATTTTTAAGGATGGTGGTCCAGTATTAGCAATGAGATTAACCGAGGTCTTAGGTAGAATTTGGGAACTGGACGTAATCTCATCTGACTGGTCTCAATCACTGATTGTGCCAGTTTTTAAGAAAGGACAAAAGTCCTCTTGTGACAATCACAGAAGAATCAGTTTGACTAATATAGTGTCTAAAATATTAGCTTCAATAATACTTCGACGCCTAACTAAAGCTCGTGAAGAGCAGATTAGAGAAAACCAGGCCGGTTTTCGACCTGGACGTGGTTGTATAGATCAGATATTCACACTACGTCAGGTTCTAGAACACAGACACATTCAGACGCCCCACAATGGTAGTATTTCTCGACCTTAAAGCAGCATCCGACTCTGTTGATCGTGAGGTTTTATGGCAGTGTTTTTTATTGAAAGGAGTACCAAAGAAGTACATTAACTCTGTAAAGGCTCTCTACTCAAACACAACTGGTAGAGTGAGAGCTTATGGCGAACTGTCATCAGAATTGATTGCCTCAAGTGGTGTTCTTCAGGGCTGTCCACTCTCTCCATTCTTGTTCAACTTTGTCATTGACGTACTTTTAGAGATAACACTTTCCTCATCTAAATTTCCAGGAGATTCACTTGTTGACTTGGAATATGCCGATGACATAGTTCTATTTGGTGATGACGCTGACAAAATGCAGAGTCTTCTGACCACTCTAAGCAACAATGCAAGCATGTTCGACATGCGACTCTCCCCCTCTAAATGCAAAATGTTGCTTCAGGATTGGGTTCCATCGACACCAGAACTAATGATAGAGAGTGAAGTAGTTGAGCGTGTCGACTGCTTCACTTATCTTGGGAGTCTGATCAGCCCTTGTGGTCTGATGTGTGACGAAATCTCAGCATAGATACAGAAGGCTCGACTAGCTTTTACCAACCTGCGTCATTTATGGCGTAAACGAGATACCCGTCTACCAACCAAAGGACGTGTTTACTGCTCAGCAGTTCGTTCCGTCCTGCTTTATGGCAGTGAAACATGGCCAATGAGAGTAGAGGATATTCGTAGGTTACTAGTATTCGATCATAGGTGTCTTCGAAACATTGCTCGTATATCCTGGGACCATCGAGTAAGTAACGCAGTTGTTAGGAAACGGGTACCAGATAAGGATGGCAAATCAATTGGTGAAGTAGTAAAACTTCATCAGTTGAGATGGCTGGGACACGTGTTGCGTATGCCCAACAACCGACTGCCTCGACGTGCGATCCTCAATGGTATATGAGTAGGTTGGAAGAAAGCTAGGGACGGCCAGACCAAAACATGGCACATCCATGAAATCACGGACAAGTGGACTTAGTCATGTTGGTTGGTGTAGACTACCTGATTGGGGACCGCGAGATGATAGCAATCGATGGTCAGAGACCCTGAATGACATGGCTCAAGATCGTTTGCAATGGCGCAGGTGCCTACACTCTTTGTGTTCTCCCAAATTTTGATCTCCGTATTCCTCCTTGTCTCTTTTTTTTCTCTTCCCAAATTTATTTCACTGTATTATACTCTTTAAATAACATCTTCGAACCCTAATCTTTCCGATTACTGCTTATACTCTTATTACCTCTACCACTACTTGATTTGAATGTACAACTGCATCTCTATGCTAATGTGGTATGGCAACTCGAACTGATGTACGTACGTACGAAGTTCTACGTTGTAATTGACTGACTGATTTCAAACCAATGGTGCACGTGGGCTCCAAGATCCTGAGAGATCGAATGGCATATGAACCTATTGTTGGTCATCAGCTACCATGGTTCTGCATCTCCTAACGTTGCTCGACTGCCTTACGTATTAGACCTCTAGATCGAAGGCCCGCCTAAGAAAATCACCATCTTTAGCTCCCGAGCGGTAACCCAGACCTTACTGAAATTGAATCATTCGTGCTGCGCATATATATTTGGTGTTTAACTACATAAATAAAACCTTCAGCATCTTGTCCTAATTTCCTAAAGTGTATGATAGTTTTTTCTCTACTGGGGTAGGATTTTCCTGATCGTCTGTAGCCACTGATTCTTTAATATTCTGCGTAGATAGTATTTTTTGGATACTAGTACATTTTGGGTCATGAAGGTGGTCGTGGCTTACCAAGTTTCAACTCGTTACAATGAAACTATTTAAACGTTAGTGTTGAAGTTACTGACCGATATTTTTTGGCAGTTGTTTTTAGTTCCATGTGATCTTCAGTTGTAAGAATGCCACGCTTACTTTGTCACTGAGTGCGTTCACATCTGTATCAGATACCCTTTGTTCGTCAACGATGCTGCTCAGGTACGTGAGATCCTCTACCTCTTCTAATGCTACTCCATTGAGTGTGATTTTGTTGGTGCTCACTTTGTCGTATTCCAGGATCTTGCTTTCACCATTTTAAATGTTGAGACCTACTACTACTGAAACCACAGCGACACTGACTGTTGTCATCTGCGGTTGCTGTGATGTACGGCTTTGTATCATTTAGTTCTGTTTCACTTCCTTCTCTATCAGCCTTTTCTTCTGTCATTGCTAAGTCTTCCAAGTATTTCCTCTTGTCATCTGTAATGCTCCCATTCTAATTGTTCTCCGCAGTAGTTTCCTCTTCTATGACTGGACCTTGTTAGGCTTTGTTCTATTATATTTTTTCAATATACTTAATTTTCTGTGTAGATATGTTTCAGCACTTAAGTGTTTTATGATGTTCTCCACTCATTTGGATTTAAAGCAAAGTTGCATTTGTTTGTGCTTGATACTTCTGTCTTTGCGACTACGTGTTTTGAGTTTAGTTTGTCTCTACTGAGTCGGAGAAAATGCTATATTTCTTTGATAGTTTTAGGTAGTAAGAAGATCGATTTATTCCTCAGTTATTTCGATAGTGTAATAAGAAAACGAAAATGATCAGAAACATGTGATATATTAGCGCAATACAATTCGAACAATCTGATTATACTTATACTTGTTAAGAACATTTATATATAAAAAATAAAAGGTCAAGTAGACTAGAAATGGAGAGTAGGAGGAGACAAGGATAATAAAGAAAATAATGTGGAAACAATTTGAAACCTCATCACTTTGGATAATAAGCTAATATTACCAGGGCCACGCGTATATAGCCTCTGCCAGGGAAGTCGTACTCACTGCCTACTCGTGGCGGGGGTGTTGTTTACAAAAATGAGAGGACGAAAAGCGAATGTCCGGCGCTTTAACCGGATTCCAAACCAATGGTGCACATGGGCACCAGTATCCTGCGGGAACAAATGGCGAATGAACCAATTGTTGGTCACCGGCTTCCATGGGACTGCATCTCCTTACGATGCTTCACTGCCTTGTGGATCAGACCTTCAGGTCGAAGGCTCGAGGTGTGGCCCCCTAAGAAAACCACCTGCTTTGGTTTGGGCACCCGGGCAGTATCACAGCCCTCACACATATCGAATGAGAGCTGTGTGGCGCATATGTATTTGGTGGTTTTCTTAGGGGGCCACACCTCGAGCCTTCGACCTGAAGGTCTGATCCACAAGGCAGTGAAGCATCGTAAGGAGATGCAGTCCCATGGAAGCCGGTGACCAACAATTGGTTCATTCGCCATTTGTTCCCGCAGGATACTGGAGCCCATGTGCACCATTGGTTTGGAATCCGGTTAAAGCGCCGGACATTCGCTTTTCGTCCTCTCATTTTTGTAAACAACACCCCCGCCACGAGAAGGCAGTGAGTAGGACTTCCATGGCAGAGGCTGTATACGCGTGGCCATGTGAGAGCATTTCGAGTGGGAGAGCGGACTCTTCCCACTCTCGGCCGTACCAGGGCATTTGGGGGCTTAAATTGGTAAACACGATGGGATGTGACGCAGTCGTTTTCTTGTCTTTTAGGTTTTCGATGAAGCATGAACATAGCAATTTCTTTGCTAATATATCTCAGTTCTGATAATCTTCGTCTTTTTATTACACTATCGAAATGTATCAAAGGGACTAATTGCTTTAACTTCCCAGTTGTTGTTACTTCAGATAAATAGCAGGGTATATTTTTTCGTATTATTCTTTGTAGATGGTTGCGGAACATATCTGTGATTCTCTTTCTTAACAAGCAAGATCTACTTACGGAGAAGGTCTTAGCTGGCAAGTCCAAGATTGAAGTCTATTTCCCGCATTATGCTACTTACCAAGCTCCAGCTGATAGTAAGATTTATGGGACAGCGTTTTGGCCTTTTCCTCAGTTTTTAGCGTTCTGATGTATTTGTCCTGTTAGTTTATCGACAGCTCGAAAGATATGTGACTAGAAATTTTCATAATTCACTGGGAAACATTTTATTTTGAAACTGCATTATGAAACATGTTTTAATGCAGATTGTAACCATGAACTAAATCATTCATTTTTGTTTCACTTGAATACCTTGTATATGCTAAAACCAAGTCATAGAATAACCATTAGTGTTTCATTCAGGTTTCCCATTGTTTCACGAAGTAATATTGCTATATATAAGATAATAGTTATTCAAACTGTGTTTTAATATGATGTCCTGGTAAGGATCTGTTATTTTCATCAACTATTTCCACGGCTAGACTGGCGGTATGTCATTTTTTGCGAAGTGGCAACTGTCTCTGAACAATAAAAGCCATGGTATTGCAAAGGTACCAGACAAATAAGGTCTGATTACGATTTATTGTATTTGATTACAACAGTAAGTGTTTGCATTAAGTGTCGCGAAACAATTTTAGGTAGCTGTTATTCTTAACTATAATTATTCTACGCTATGGACTCTGTAACTGGAATTAATGTAACTCACATATAATGTAGAATTTTATGCATTTGACTTTGATTTTTACTAGTTGAGCGTGGGCTAGTGATAATACCTTGTTTCTCAAACTTTAATAGCCAACTTACCTTTCTACTATATGAGTATGAAAAGCAAACTTTTGATTAACAATAATTCCCAATTAATCATCTCATTTAGCCTTCACTTCAGTAATAGTCATAGAGATTTAATGTTTTTGGTATTAGATATTTCAAGTTTAGTCATGTCAGATTTTGAAAATTGCACTTACGAAGTAATTTTAATCATGATCCATATGAGTGAACTTACTAAACCCTATCATTGAAAATGTTAGGGTTCTAATGTACCATTACGTACTCCACATTTCAATTGTTTTACAACAATAATACTTCTAAATAATTATATGAACATTGGTTCTTCTCACCCATGAAAATCAACTTCACGAGTCTTGCCGCATATCATTTCGACCACTAAACTTGTATGGTAATGTTTGGTCTTTTTTTACTGTCATTATGATTTGTGACCATGAACAGCTTTTTCGCTTTTTTCGGAGGTCTTATAGTCTACCTAAGTATGAGGAAGTTCGTCTTAATGTTTTTATCTATTCATTCATGACAGAGACATTGTATTACTTTCATAATTTGGGGACGTCATATTCTTTTAACTTGGTAAGTATATTAAATTTCTGTCGTGGTTGCATAAATTTATAGCTTATGAATAAGATATCTTAAGTATTGTTCTCTCTTGTACAGCACTGGCAGAGTATCGTCATGAAAACTCAGAAGTTATACGTGCCCGATTTTTCTTCCGCGATGAGTTTCTTGTAAGTCACTCTGATTTCTTACTAATCTACACCTTGAGACCCCAATAGTCTATGCTAATTTTACTTTATTTATCTGTAGTTTGTCACTAACTGATCATAACTTCAAAACTACCCACTCGTTCATTAAAAATCAGTAATTCTCATCTAAGTGTTCTGGATGTAATATCAGTTATTTCGTTCTTTGTAAAACTGAAAGAAACACACTATTGTATGCAATTTCGACTACTCAGTTAAACTTTCGTTTTAATTTTTGAAATGAGTTTTCTTAAAATTATCGTAACTTCATGATATCTATATTTTATTTTCATGTTTCTAGAAAGTAACATCAAATAACAATGGTGGACGTCATTATTGCTATCCTCACTTAACATGTGCAGTTGATACGGAAAATATCCGACGCGTATTCAATGATTGTCGCGATATCATTCAGCGAATGCACCTGCGACAGTATGAATTACTCTAGGAACATATTTTGTAGGCCCCAAATATGATTTTTGTTCTTCCATATTTTTCTGGGTATACTGTTTTAAAACCCCAACGCTTGTGAATACCATCTCATAATTAATTATGATTAATGTTATCCAGTGCATCGAATATAGTTGAATATTTTACTCCCTTTATAAAACTACCTATCTCTGCTAAACTGCATTTGAAGACCAAGCACTGCAAAACCAACTGGCACGTTTGAAAATTTCGACGTCTTTTTAAAATGTCAAACTGGATGCAAACAACATCATGTTTTCAAAATCTTATTTGTAATACACCACCTCAGATATACGTATATTTATCTGAAATTTTAATTTCTCAATACTTTTATTTTAATAATGTCACTATTACTGCTTTATTTCTTTTGGTATTCTTAAGTTTTGAAAGCATACTATTCTGCGGAATTTACTGTTGATCAGGATTTTTCTAATCGTGTCTGTTTGGATGTCTATAAGCTCGTTATTCCTTCTAACTCTGTCTTGGTTTTATCACCGTGATATGCAATTGTAACTTATTTCTGTCGATAAATATGCTCCTGTTTGCAAATCTGTTAAGTTGATGTGCCAATATGTTTACTCCCCTTGGATGTATACACAATAATATTTCATAATCAGTAGTATCCAGTTTCACATGTTTGATTAAAAAATATCGTTAGCTAGCTATATGCAAACATATGACTTGTTCATACATTTGGAATTGTAAACTTGTTTTGTTTTCAGTGAATAACTCTTGTCTTTCTTCCTAGTTTCAAATCTTAGTGGTGTTACACGCTACCACGTAGTTTTGCAATCCTGAAACTTTTCCTCATTCTGATTTGCCTAAGATCTGTGTTTTTGAGCTTATATTACTTGTTTTCCGGTTGATTTCACTTAAATGAATGCCTCATATTCTTAGATCTTTATTGTTAACTGTAGAACGCACAACGCTGTTGTATTCGAAATCCCGTTTGCTAATGAACTGTGTTCACGGTGTGATAGCCTTCTCTACTGAAAGTAGACGGGGTACGCTTTTCACTTTAGTCAGTTCGAGTGGTTAGATATTTCTCCTTCACTCTGTACAGCCACACTTTGATGTAACTGGCTAGACTTACTCATAATATTGACTTCATTTTTCAGCTTGTTAGTGATTTTGCTTAGATGTTTCAACTTGTTACAGACAATCTCACTTCTGTAAGGATTTGTACTTTTTTTCTAATATCTTCCACAGCTGAGTTTTTCGTAGCTACAAAATGAAAAAGTCAGTGCAAATTAAAAATAAATCTTTGAAGTGCTCCCGTTTGTGCTTCTTTGATTTCTTTTGATCTCATTTAAATTTGAATCTTTGTCTTTAAATTTAATCTAATCGTATGCAAATCTTGCACTTGATACGTTTTTAATGGCCTCTTCCATATTTATGAGGTCATAATTATACAAATTGGCTTACTTAAACCTTTTTCCATTAACTTGGCTTACATGCGAATGTTTACACAGATTGTGGTAGTTAAGTTTAAACCTGTGTTTTGAGTTGTGGGTGTTTAGTTGAGTTCTGCTCCGGATTTCATTTCCAAACTTCGATGATCAGCTAAGTGATTCATCTTTTAGTTGCCAGTGATGCCGATTAATATATAGGTTCAATTAGAAAATAACATCCCAGTGCTAAAGTACTTTGTTTCTGAACTGTCAAATCTAGAGATGTCTTTTTAGTTGTAAAGATATAGGATTTCGTATGTTAGAAAAATCACGACAGTACTACCTCTAGTTTCAGTGAATTCTGACCTCGTATGCGCCTTCTGATCTTTAGCAGAATCGTACCTTGTAAAACAATATTGTAAGTGCTGAATAATGTTTCAGGTTCGAATTCACTCGAACTACTTTGCTTTGCGTATGTAGCTCTTCTAAAACTAGTCGTAACCCAAAGACAAGTACAAAAAGACTAAAATTAGTGGAGCATATTTAAGTTTACTGCATTGACTTATTGACCCTACTTACGGTGTCAGTTCCATACAAAAATTAACTTTCTGGAGCTACAGAGAGAACTCCGTATATGTCAAATACGGTCAAGTTTGCGAATTATCATTTTGCGGTAATGGATTTTGACGCTTCCATAAGAAGAGATCAAGACAATTTGAGGACTGGATGAAACAATGCAGTTAATATTACGCAGTTCCGAATCGTACATAACCTGTTATTTTTGGCAGTCAAGTCTAATATCCGACAGTGATATTCCGTAAGCCAACTGAGTTAATACTCCAAAGCCGTACTAATGACTGAATCCTGGACTACACTGCCTAAGCTTTCCTCGACCTAGGTGTAACCACTCGGAACGACGGTCTGTCCTTTTCGACACACCGAAGCGGTAGCTAAGTACGTCCTGTTATTAACATCCAACTTGGCTACCTAAGACATGTCGGTAAGTTACCATAGTCTAAGCCGCGAGGTTCAGAGAGCTAAAAAATGCTAGGGCGGAGTTGCAGAATTAACTGGGCTGTGGAGACGGCGAATTTTCATAATGATAATCAAACATTTCTAGCTTCGATACTTTACGAAATTATGGCAACACAATGATAAACGTATTCCAACTTGTGTACAGAACATAGTTAATAAGACCAGCGATGTTCATGCTCCGTGGCAATTAACGTAATCATTTTATTTTTTTAAAGACTTTGACAAGAAGTTTTTTACAGCCTATATGAACTCGAACAATGAGTTGGGACTTTGGAACCCGTCGTCATGGAGTGTGGAATGTCTGTGAAACGAATACAGGATTATAGAGCGGCATTTCACAACTGGTCCCATTCATGCTTCGCTTATCTGAAGATCAAAGATCATAACGGAGTACTCGGGATGCCTAAAGATAAAATCAGGACTTTGAATGAGATTCCAATTGTTTGTGTGCTATCTGGAAAAAGGCATTGTAAAGGTACAGACTGTTCTGTTCCTTATCTCCAGCTGCTCTTTCGTCAACCGCAGGTCAGGTGAAATCGAAGATTACATCTATCGGAAGTATTAAGTGTTCTCACAACTTACTAATCAAGTTAGACCGAATAAAATATTAAAACAGCTTTCGGCACAATAATCAAGCGAACACGACGAAGCTCCCACTGTAGTTATCCTGTGAAAATAGTTTTAAAAGGACGTACCGTTTAATTTAGTTAATAGTTCCAGAAGTGAGACAACTGCTAGCAACTATGGCTAGAAGTCTGAACTACTAAGTGTTCATAGTATCTTAACAGGGGGTTCTTAACATGGTCATTTTTAAGTAAACTCGGAGAACAAAAGCAATCTGAAGGCACTGATTGTAGCTCACGAGGTTAATTTGGTCAAGAAAAATATGTAAGGTCAACTGTTTGCGAAATTTGAAAAGGTGAAACCATAGTCTTCCCGAACAAGCGACTACACAATGGGGAATTCAATCTACATTATTCGATTCGGTTGGTAAGGTTAAAAATCTGTACCCTTTATTGGAGCACTCAGCTTTCAAAATAAGTGCTTCGATATAATTTTTCGACTGTAACCGGCGTAAAGTTGATATGGCGTTCAAATGTTTCGGGACGGTCAAGAAGGTAGCCACTAATCTTTCACCAAAAAGTAAAATTAGCGAACTGAGAGTCTCGTCTGCGGTTTTTGGAAGTTTATATATGGTATACCTTTTGCAAGTCTAATAGGTAGTTTTAATTTCTGAACCTGTATAAATAGGATATTTACAACGTATTGGACTGTTAATTTTTTTGAACCAGTATCAGCAATACATTGGAGAGTAATAAGTTTTTTATTTGATTTACTCTGATATACAGATTGGTCAATTAGAAAAATGAGTATTATTCATCGTTTCCCAGAACCCGGCCGTGTCCAGGAAATCTTCCCGTAGTTGTAGTTGGTTGTCTTGCGCGTGGGGCTTCTCCAAAACCAGTTGTAATACCTCTTTGGTTTGGAAATAGTCTATATCTGTGGAAACAAAATACACTGATTTTAATTTTGGAGTACTTAATACAACTGTCCAAACAAGAGATAGGAACAACTAACAAAATAATTACTGGAAAGTAAAATTACCTGATATTTAATGGAAGTGAAACTACTCTGATAAGTGTGAGAAATGATGTGAATCGAGCAAACTAATAATCGAGGGACTGTTAGTCTTCGATAGATGTTAGTCACGTACAGTAAGTGTGTGGATATTCATACAATGTTGACTATTATCCATTCCTCTAGGATGTGATAAATAATCGAATTTCGGTAATGTTGGGTTTATTATTTGGACACATGAATATTGGTACAAGAGAGCGCCAATATATATGCGCCACACAAAACAATGAAAATTCGAGAGGAATACAAAGAAAGAAAAAAAAGCTAAGGAGAGCAAAAAAAAGAAGAGAGAACAATAACGAAGAGATTGGTGTAAGGTAATGTGCTAGTAATCAGGGAACGCAAAGGTACAATCGGAAGAAATTTTTCAGGTAAGGGAGTCACAACCACTTTTTATGAGAAAAGTGAGAGGTTACAGCAGGATCGCCACTGGCTTCTATTCTGGGCCATATCTGATAACGTCTCTAGCCACTGTGTTGCACCATCTCTTGGACCCCAGCCAGGGAGTCGTGAAGGACCAACACAAGCCAGCCCTTTGCAGATTTCTTTCATACCACGACACCATGTCATACACTGACTACCTCCCCGCTTTTTCCAACCAGTCCCGGCGTCGGCAAATAATGCACGACGTGGAATTCTCCGGGACAACATTCACAGAACATGTCCAAGCCACCGAAGTCGGTGTTTCAAGATGGTAACACCAATTGAATTATCATCTCTGTGCTCGAACACACGATGCCGAGCCTCTGCATTACTGACATGGTGTTGCCACTTGATGTCAGCAATCCTTCGGAGACAGCGATGATCGAACACGGAGAGGCCAGGTTTCACAAGCATAGAGTAAAACTGCTCTCACCGACGCGTTGTAGATCCGACCTTTTACAGCCAGACCAACATCACGAAGGCGCCAAAGATGGTCCAGATTGGAATAAGCCGCTCTGGCTTTCACTACAGATGGATTGATCTCATCACTCACACCCCCACCAGCACTTATGCAGCTACCTAGATACACGAACTTCTCGACTACGTCTATCTGCTCACCATCCAGGGTGAGTACAGGACTTGAATCCTGCCAGTCTTGTAGGAGTACTTTGCACTTCGAAGGTGCAAAGCACATACCGTACATACGTACATTGATTGCCAACTGATTAAGTGCGGATTGCATGCCTTGGGCATTATCGCACAGTAAGACAATATCATCTGCATACTCAAGGTCGAGAAGTCTTTCTCCAGGCAACAGATCCACACCGCCATTACGTACATTCATCAGGGCTGTTTCCAGAATGTCATCGATGGCAAAGTTGAAGAGGAATGGTGAGATTGGGCAACCCTGCCTAACCCCACTACTCGAAAGGAACAATGGAGAGAGGTGGTTGTATGCCCTCACTCTGCCTGAGGTGTTTTTATATAGGGCTTTTAGGATGTTAATAAACTTCTCAGGCACACCCTTCTTCAATAGACAATCCCAGAGAACAGTCCTGTCCAACGAATCGAAGGCGGCCCTGATGTCAAGAAACACTACGATTGTTGGCCTTTGATAAGTATGGCGATGTTCTAATATTTGGCGGAGGGTGAAGATATGATCAATACTTCCTCGACCATAACGAAACCCAGCCTGCTCCTCGCGAGTCAATCTTTCTCGGGTTTTGAACAACCTACGAAGTATGACGGAAGCCAATAGCTTGGACGCAATCGGAAGTAGACTTTTCCCCCGATAGTTGTTGCAGGAACGACGTGAACCCTTTTTAAAGATAGGGACAACTATCGACTCATTCCATGACGTTCGTACACTCTCTAGTTCCCAAACCTTTGTAAACAACATCGTCAATTCCTTAATCAAAAAGTCACCATCATCTTTAAAAAGAGCCGGAGGTAAGTCATCTGGGCCAGGTGATTTGTAACGCTTCAAGAGTTGGAGTTCCTTGCGGACTTCCTCCTCGTTTGGTGGATCAGTCGTTACCGGCCATGGAGGGCAGGACAGTCTGACCGATGTTGCCGGAGCAGCAGGCTAGTTGAACTGCCCATCGTCCAAGACGTCGATGGATGTTAGTGATTGGCATCCCTTCATCCTCGCAGATTGTTTCACTCACATCAGACTTCTTGCTGCCAGTGGCTCGGATGAGCTGGAAGAGCTTCCGGTAGTTACCAGATGCAGCTGCTGCTTCCAGCTCATTAGCACGCTTCGACCACCAGGCTTCTCGGTCCTTACGCAAGCTTTGCCCATGTTGGGTGGAATTAGCCATACTTTTCCAATGTTGAATAACAGTACGATATCTGGCATTTCAGAAGATTTTTCTGTTTATTTAATGGTATCGCTTAAAACAGTAACAATTTTGCGCACAGGTCAAAAAATACTTTTAATTCAAATTAGATCAACCAGAACCAGTCAATCTAAAGTATATCGAAGTCGAGCACAATATTTTCAATTATTCAGATGGCTAAGTACTAGTAATTAAATGATTCAGCAAGTCTAAATAGAGTTTTAATATCACAGTAAAGATATTTTCAACAATCGTAGTGAGGCACGTAATTGAGATACTCAGATTTCAGGTCGTAGTTACTCATCGTATGTATGGATTACAAAACGTGACTTGCTTGGAAAAACAGCGCGTGTGTTTCCCTAATTGTCGCCTGTGCAATTGTTCTGTTGCTAATTTAGGCATCTTGCTGACTATTTTTAGAATTTTGACGAGTATTACGCAGTTCAGATAAGCTTAACACTATGTTTGTATATGTCCAGAAAAACAATCTTATTTCACTGTTAGCTATATTTTTAAGTTAATGGTTATTTCCAAAACAGTTAAAGGTTACAACCGGTGCTAAATCTTCGGATTTCTGGTACAAATTAGATCATCTTTCACTAATGAATTATGATGAGAATAAATATCACAGACCAATGACACATTCCAAAATGATCTATTACCGTACTCACTGCCTTCTCGTGGCGAACGTTCTTTATGAGTAAAAGGACTGAAAACGAATATTCAGAGCTTAGCCCAGATTGGTGGATATTGAGGATTCCACTTGGAGGAAGTGAATAACTCTGATTCCCAGCCAATGGTTGATATTTTTTATTAAAACACATAAATATTAGTATAAGGTGGCACCGAACATATATGCACCACACAAATGATTCAATTTGAGTAAGGTCTGGGTTACCGTTCGGCAGCTAAAGATGGTGATTTTCTTAGGCGGCCACACCTCGAGCCTTCGATCTAGAGGTTTAATACGTAAGGCAGTCGAGCAACGTTAGGAGATGCAGACTCATGGTGGCCGATGACCAACAATAGGTTTATATGCCATTCGATCCCTCAGGATCCTGGAGCCCACGAGCACCACTGGTTTGAAATCAGGGTTTTCCAACTCCCCTAGGTAGATTCTTATCCACTAACCCAGTTGAGGCGCCGGACATTCGCTTCTTGTTCTTTCAATTTCTTAAACAGCATCCCAGACGCGATCAGGCAGTGAGTAGGACTTCCCTGACAGTGGGTGTATACGCATGGCCATGTGAGTATTTTGAAAGGGATAGTTGACTCCCACCACCCTTGGCCGTACCATGGCATTTGTGGACATAGGCTCCTCGATCCTTAAGGGAATGACGTATAAACATATTTTAGTCACTCGCTACCATAGGACTGCGTCTCCTAACGTTTTTTCACAGCTCCGTGTATTAGGCCTTTTGACCGAAGGCTAGGGAAGTTGTTTCTTAGGAAAAACAATCTGTTTCTGTTTAAGCGGCCCTGTCATATCTCAACCCAAACACGAATAAAAGGATAATTACTGTTGTAAAATATTTTTTGGTCTATTTATTCGTTCGTCTATATATTATTTGTACTTTACATTGGTCACTTATCCATTCCTCATTATCAACATTTTGTGGTCTTTTTTGTTTCAATCAACCTAGCAGCTTGTCTACGGTCAAAGTTCTGTCCTGTTCCAACAGTTTGAAGCTGCTGACCGGTCGAATTTATGGATGCTTTTAGTAAATAGAATTCTTAATGCAATTTTTCTAAACCTTTGTTTCCCAATCAAACTGGCCTCCTTCAGAGTTCGTAGATAGGACAACGGAAAGATTTGACTATGCTTTGCAAAGCCTCGGTATTGACGTCTCTTGTACCTCTGAATATGTATTCATCACTACAGAAGCACTAAAAGTCCGCTTTTCATCTGTAGATTCGAAAAGATTATTTTACGTGTGCTTGTCCGAAAACCCTGAGGCATCTTCGTTCAACATGTGTGGGGTTGTTGCACTAAGTGCCATAGCAGCGACAGCGCTAATCGACTAAATTTTTAACTGAACTGTATTTCTTATTATGTAATGCCCTTGTTAATTATTTTATGTTTGTTTACTTTCCTTTGCTTCATATTTACTCCCTTTTTCTCACAATTTTATTTATACCTTAAGTTGCGCATTTCATTTTTTGGTGACGTGTTGAACTACATTTTATGTGCTTTTGATGTAGCGAAATTGAGATATGGTTGGTCACTGAGTACAAATAGATACAGCCTACTGACAATTAAATATGTGATTTCCGTCCTTGTCATTGATTTCTACTCCGGACTTATTGAGAGTGACTGCTTGAAATTGTGTTAAATAAAGTATTATCTAGTCTATACTCCGGTTCTCTATTCTGGGTCTAGAATCTCGGATCTAATATAACGTAGCTAGTCTTATTATCGTATTAACGTATAATCTTATTGTACGTGAGAGACAAATATTATAGACCATTTGTTATATCAAGTTTATAGATTAATATCCTTTTGAGTTTTTCTATCCTGGTTAGTCGAACCATGGTGTACACTACTTATGCAGACAGAAATAAGTAGTACGATGCAAGAATTTGAAGTAGAATGTTTACCAGCAGAAGAATGAAGTAAACATGAAAGGGAAGTAAACGAAGAGCAATTGGAATGACAACAGGACCGGAAGAATGATTACGTCTGTAAAAGACAACTGAAGGAAGATATACATATGATGTATCCATTGTATGATTTTGGTACTTCACGAAGGCACTGTGTAAATATGTATAAAATAATAAATTGTTTTTCCACATCTGAATTCTCTTACACTACAGACATGCGGTTTCTTTATACTATATAGACTGGAAGTACTTTTATGAGCTTGACTTTCAATCTCATAAGCTTTTGCAAGTCGAATAGCGAAAAATAGTGTCTGCGTTTTCTCGTAGTTAAAACTATAGGGTTTATATGAACAAAGGTTTTCACACATATTAATAACACTTAAGTTACAAAATGTTTCTGTACAGTATTTTTCTCAAATAAGAGTAAGTGGTTAGTTAGCATTTGTATGAAAAGTCAAATTGGATTAATTTTAGGCTTCAGAACGCAGTTGGATTACTTTGCACTAGTACATATGGAGCGCTAAGTGTTAGCACAAAAAAACTGTATTCTGCTTTTTTAATTTAGTGAAATATATTTTTGATGGAATGGGGTCCTAAAATATCACTTTGTGTTTCCACTTTTGACGCACACTTGAGGATATAAGGGTGATTTATATTGTTCAGTGGAGTTCTCGAATATAGCACTCTGGCGCTTTAACTTCTGATTCATCTTTTTAAGTATATAGGATTATGAGCTAAGTCTTACTGGTTAATGATTCTCCAGGGCTTTTCAAACCAAGTTAAGTTTAACATTACTAATCATATAGTGACTACAACATGAAAGAAGTTGAACATTACATACAGTATCTACATGGAGAAATTACTTACAGAAATCCAGGGGTCTTTAGTATAGCTTGACCACCATACTCTTGAGGATACTGGAAAACGAAAAAGTAGTAAAGATGTCCAACGATTATTCCAACCAGTTCCATCATCGCACTACAGTTACAAATAAAATTTTGGTTATAAAACAAACACAGACTAACCTCCCACGCACTATTAAGTTAAATATTACCAAGACCCACGGAAAGTACATTGCTTTGAACTGCATACCAAACCAAAACTGGACAATAACATCACGATTTAATTGACTCCATATATAGAGCACTGTCAGTACCATTGGCTCCAGAAGCACCTAGTTTTATGGAGAACATTGCAGTAAAAATTACTACATGGTATAATGTTGTAGTAATTATAAAATGCTTTTTGACTGAAATTGTTCTCTATAATCAACTTAATTTCACTTCATACATAATAAACAACTATTGATTCATAGTCAGTACTCAACCAAGCTATCTATGACCGTTAAGAATGACAGTTTATTGTTTAGTTTTACGATTGATAAACTGAAGATTTGATTTACACATTAGAAAAACTACTTAAGATAACTATTTGGATTAAAAACAGCTACCATAAATCTGAAGATTATAAAGAAAATGCGGAATACATCATGGTCGTTAGTCTGCATATTAAATGCAGTTATTTCTAAGTTAATCCAGTTGATATTCAAACTGAAAGGCACGATTTTGCAGCTCATTGAACAGATAATGACGGTTTGGCGTAACTATGCTCAGATAACCGTTTATTTATAGAAGGCAGTAAATTTATACATATGGAAAGACACCGCCCAAAGTGGCAACCCCAAAAACAAACTTATTGATGAGCCCAGATTGACTACCTTGTCCTCAGTCATCATTAGAGAGGCTGAGTAGAAAACTACCGCTAATTCTGAAGCACATGTTTTGACTCTGATTACATCATAATGCAAGCACGATTTTGCCTTCGCTTTACTGGACGCAGAACAGTCACAACAGGAGTTCAGCTTTACGATGAAAAAGTCAAGAACGCATTTTAGGAACAACTACAGAAGCGGCAATGCAAGCACGAAAGCAACGTTCACCCCGATGTAGTCTAGCATGATTCTCAAACAGATAAAGGAACATTATTAACATGTATCGATGACTTGAACCATAAGGTTAAGAAGCACCAATGGATTTCTGTAGTGTATACTGAATGCACAGATACTCGGAAATTCATTCCACTAGACTCTGAAAACACAATAAGCGTAGATTGACAACAAGCGTAGTTAATGATTGTGATCAGTGGAGGGCAGTGAAAACAAAAGGTGAAAAAGGCAACGGCGATAGACAACAGTAGACAACTATTTAAACTACTCAAGGTGTAAAAATATGGCTGTTAGCGAGACTGTTTTGGAAAAATATGAGAGCATTATTCACTCTCAATACGGGAGATTAGGCCTATGAAGAGGACATTTTGGGTAGCAGTTCAGCTGGCTTCAAGCTACTCTTAACTTAGCCATCTCCAAACAACCTGATTGATACAAGTCCCACTATTCTTACGGAGTTTGAAAAGACTATAGTTGGCCTAAAGTGAGGAAGAGTAACAAGTCCCTGTGCAATTAACTCTGGAGATCTTTAGGGATAATGCTTCACTTTTAGCGGTTAAGTTCTTAGCCAGATTTTGAGAACTAGACTTAATTTCATTTGACCAGTCTAAATCTCTGATCGTTTTAAATTATAGGGAAGGATAAAAATCCTCTTTTGATAATTGCAGAGGAATCAGTTTGACGATTGTAATTTCTAAAATATTGTGCAAAGTCTGCTTAAGGAGAGAGGAACTTGGTTGTCACACAGTGCTAGTGTTGGAAGCAGCAGTCGCATCGGGTAACTACCGGAAGCTTTTTTCGACTCAGCCAATCAATCATATTTACCGACTTCTTGAATGATGGCCAGTTCTTCGAGAGACATTTTGGCTGGTCATGTATAGCGAAGGCTGGAGCGGCTTATGCTGACCTGAGCCATCTGTGGCGCCTTTGTGACGTTAGTCTGACTAAAAAAGTCGGATCCACAAGTCGGTGAGAGCAGTTATGCTCCACGCTTGTGAAACCTGGCTTCTTTGAACTAAGGTTGGGCGACTCTCTGTGTTTGATCACCGTTGTCTCTGACGGATTGCCAACATTCAGTGACGACACCGTGTTAGTAATGCAGAGGTTAAGTAACGTGTCCTGGCACAGTGACGATAATCCAATTGCTGTCACTGTCTTGAAATATTGACTTTATTGACTTTGACACATACTACGAAGTCATCCAAGGGAATTCCACATCGTGAATTATTGTCCGATGCTGGACCTGGTTATAAAAGGCGGCCAGTGTATGATATGGTGTCGTGGTATGGAAGATAGCTGTAAAGGACTGAGGCCTGTCGGTTCCCGACGACTCTGATTGAGACCCTAGAGATAGTGCAACAGTAGTTCGAGACGTTATCAGACATGGCTCAAATAGAAGCACTTGACGGACCTGTTGTAACTTTCTTCATAAACGTGAAAGCAACTTCTTTAAATGAAAGAATGTTTTCTGTTCGTATTTTTCCCAACCGAACTGCTTCTACTATTATTATTTCACTAACACTAACTTATATTCATTGTTCTTTTTAATTGTAATCACCTTTGCCACTTTACAGTATATTATTGTGTAGTGCAAATATATTTTGGTGCCCCTTTGTGCCAATAATTGTATTTAAATGAATAAATCTTAACCCACAGCTAGACTTTTGGTAAAATGGTTTAGAATCATTATGAATGGAACAGGTACATCCACTCTTTATCATTTCTTATTTTCAGAAGCCAGAAATCTCGTAACATTTTTCAAATCTTCTCTACTACTACTGAATCAGTTACTAATTTCAGGATTTCACCTTGCTGTGCTTTAGTGTGACAATTCGACTCAACACATGTATGTTTAGGGTTCTACGTTGTATGTGATTGCGAGCATGCGAATGACCTCATCACTCGCGCCAATGTCAGTACTCATACGACTACCCATAATATACGAACTTTTGGACTACTCTTAACTGCTCGCTGTTCAGAGCGATTGGAGAGATAGGCTCCTCCCAGTCTTATACACGTAATTTTTACGCAGGTGTAAAGTTAATGATCAGATCACTATATCGATTTATGCTACTAGAAATGTTGCAATGAGTCTCTTCTAATTTAGAGATCTCTGTATGAAACTTGCGCATGAACAACTTTTCTACATGCACTCGTCATTTAGTTTATGGTGATGGTAGCTTTTAAAATTTCCGTATAGTTACCTGTTTCTGTAACAGTTCTATTACACAGCCCTAATTTCGTCACCGGAATTCATTTCTAGGTAAAATATACAGCTAAAGCCACTAATAGATTTCTCTAATCAGTGATTTTAAGGACGACATCTTAAACATGGTAGAGCCACATATTAAGGTACACCAAATCGATGTGTAAACTCGGATCCAGGCCCTTTGGGGTCCCGCGTGCAGGACCATGGATGCGCACTGCCGAGTTCTGTACCATGGCCAAACAGGTGTTTAGTGCTTCTAGGTTTTCAGTGTTGGTTTATCTTAGATCAACTCGTGAATTTAATCGTGAAAATACCACAATGTACACAAATCCCTATACTGAAAAAAATTATCGTTTACGTCATTACATTTATGTGATAAACAATATATTTCGAGATTAAATAGACAAAAAAGTCTTATGACTATAAGTGAAATATGAAATAACAAAATTACGACAAGCAATCCCTAGTATTTAACTTACGTAAAATGAAGCCAAGAAACTGACAATCTGTTCATCAGTTAAGAAAATCTTGTGAACATGAACAAATATTCTCACGATCACTGGATAATTTATAATAATTGAACTAATTTTTATTAGGAACCCCATAAATTGAACTTCATAACCGTTGACTGGGGTCAATCCAAATAAACTGCGCGAATTCAACATTTAATTCAACTGTCACAGTTCAGTAACTAACGATGGAAATGCATACTTCATTAAGATTTGCTACTTATAGTTCAGGTAAAAAGCACTTGTTCTCATGTCTTGCAATCCCAACTAAACCCATCAGCTAACCAGTACGACGAAGTATGAGACAGATGATTCAAGTTATCTTCATGCAAATTAGTGAGTCCAATTTCGAAGTAATGACAGATTAATTTTAAACAAAAGAACGGTACAGACTTCAGAGAAAGAATCCGTCTTACGTCGACTTAAAGCACAAAAAGAAATTGTATAACTGTGTGACAAATTTCGTTAGAATAGCAAAATAGTACTACAGATAAAGGATACCACCAGTGCTAGCCAAGTGAACAAAAACATAAATACATAATCTGCAGTGCGTCCGAGGAACATACCTGAAAATAATATTGAAATTAAGTAAACTAACCATTCTCCAATCGAGAGGAGTATGAATACAAGAAGTACAGATTGATTAGGAAGTGAAATCCAGTTGATGGGGATACTGGATAGAACAACAAAGCTGTTATTGGCCTCCATATCTATAAAATGGTAAACTATATAAGCAGCAAACCTCGAAGTGGGAATATATTCTGTTCCACAACAAAATCATACGCATGGGATCAATAATATTAAATTTACCGAGAAGTGAAAATAATATTGTCCCCGAAAACCAATAACGGGTGACAGGAGGGATGCTGTTGAACATATCAGACAGGTCATTCCCAGGCATGTTTATACAGTTTAAAATCACTTTATATCAAGAGGCGTGTCGAAGTACTATGTAATTTGTCTACAACTGATATTGGAAAATTTTCATACGAAATCCCACAGCCTAAAGAATGAAAAACATTTAAGAACTAATTAGACCAAGGCTTCATGGAATTGGGTGATGACATTTTTGTATCCAGATTAGGAACAAAATTGACGCGATAACCTTACAAAGACATACGTGTAATTAGAAGTACAACAAACGTTTGAGTTACCGCCCTCGAAACGATCTCCAATATAGTTATCAGCTTAATAATCAGTCTTCAGTAATAAGGATAGTAGGTTGGTAGACCTATGATGATCCTCGTAGCTTGCTTTCTCGGGGAGGGGGGTCCATCTTTTTTTCGAGAGTGTTCAACGAGCGGGTGGATACCACTATTGTAGTGTGTATACTCAATGATTTTTGTAACGACAAAATAAAAACCACACTTATATTCAATATTCATTGTTTCTCTGCATCAACGGTAAAGAAACGTATATAATTCTTTAGTTAAATAGGCATACTACCACGATTGTTAAAATATAAACCCTATCTCCGCCGTCTGTTCTTCTGCTTTATTGGCCACCGCCTTTGTTTGAAGATCATAATAGTGTTCAAATGGTTCAAATGGTTGTGGACGGAATAGAAGAAGCTTTCGCTCAACAGGCTTCCGTGACTAGTAGCAGGGGATCACCGAATCCTCCAGGTAGGAACCTAGGTATGTTAACAATAAAAGAGGAAAAGAAATTGGTAAATCATAGTGTGATACTGTCCTTGGTCCTTAAGAATAGGTCAAGTTACCTCTTGAAGGACTCCTGAGAAGTCGCTTGGACTAGCACGGCCGGCAGCGAATTCCAGCATTTGACAACTCTTAAGGAGTAGAAGTTGTGTCTACATTCCGTCTTGCTATGTTGAGTTTCCAGTTTCTGGGTGTTACCCCTTGGGTTATTATCCGAACTAAGCTTAAGTAGGTGTTTAAGAAGATGTCCAGAAGTGTTAAGAATACTATAAGCCATTAATAAATCACCTCACAGACGCCTATACTCTAATGGGTAAAGGTCTAGTGAATGGAGGCGTTCTTCGTAAGGCTTAGATTTGAGTCCTCGAACTGATTTCGTGGCTCGCCGTTGGATACGCTCCAAAGTGACCTTGTCCTTTTGGAGTGAGGGGGAAGTACTATGTTTCCGTACTCTAAATGGGGACGGATAAAACTATTGAAGATTGTATGGAAAGTTCTTCCGTCAAACTGGCCAAAATTGCGCTTCAATGTTATTAGTGCAAGGTTTGCTCGGAAGGCATTTTTGTCACAGTTAGCGTAAGACTTTAAATCGTAGGGCACCAAGACTCCTAAATCTTTTTCGACTTGAGATACTACTAGAGGGGAGTTACCTAAGTTATAACTGTAGTCTGCGACATGTCGCAGATGGACTACTTTACACTTTGAAGTGTTAAAGGTAAGTCCGTTATCATCTGCCCAACTTTGAAGTCGAGTCAGATCCTCCTGAAGTGCCTGTGTATCGTCTTGGTTGCATATCTCTCTACAAAGTTTCACGTCGTCGGCTAAAAGTAATAAGTCCGACGTTACCTGTCGAGGAAGATCATTTATATAAATCAAGAAGAGAAGAGGCCCTTATACTGAGCCCTGGGGGACCCCACTAGGACATTCCATAGCCTGAGATAAAGTGAAATTAACCCTAACCTTAAAGTGTCGATTTTCTAGGTATGAAGTAAGCCAATCGAGAAGAGGTGGTTTGATACCTAGTCGTTTGAGTTTATTGATAAGACACAAGTGGTTAACTTTATCTAAAGCTTTTGAGAAATCAAGGTAAATGATATCAACCTTTCCCTTGCTATCGAGGATGCTTGTCCGTCTATCTACCGCAGTCAGCAGGTTGGTTATACAAGAGTAACATCCTTCTAGGCCTTCTCACACTATGTTGGAGTTTCGGCCCGGATACTTATTAAATAATACTATTTAATTTATTCTTTTTCATTACACCGTTGATTTCACCACATGCAGAGGGATCTTCGGTAATCAAGTGAACTCATTTATGGTTATCTCAGAGAGAAGCCTAAAAATATCATTCATTTCATAACAGCTGTTAACAATTTGTAGCTTAGTATACCACTTGTATTGTTATTTGTTATCTTTTACTTTACTGATAGACAGCCACTTAGCTTTGTAGTGTTAATCCTTTTTGGTATATTAGTGGTATCTTTGCGTACTGTTATATCTTGAATAAGCTTTTTTGCTGGGATCCCTAATACCACTTGTTTAGGTAAGGTGTTGCAGACACTGTACACTCTATGAGAGGTACGAGACCCCTCCATGTTTTTGAGACCGCAGCTATGGCCTTAAAGATGATTAGTTCGGGAGTGAGAACAAAATAAAACATCTTGATACCCAAACCGTTATTAGATATACGGAATTCCGGTTTGAAATCGCCTCGCGCTCTGATAAAAGGTTAAGGCGTTGTAGCCGCTCATCGTAAAACAGTTTGGAAAGACCCTACATTAATTTCATTTTTACATGCTGAACATGTTAGAGTGTGTTATTATTCCTGGCAATACATGGGCTGTCTGCTCAAACACAGTACTCTAGGTGTGGTCTTACATTGGTAGGAAACAAAATTCGAAGCATCTCGCCAAAGCATTTAGATGCTCAACTAAATGATCACGAATTTTGAAAACACTTGGTTGCTGCTGCGTCACTATGAGTAATTGTTTTCAAGTCATGACTTACCATTATCTTTAAGCTTTTATGTCCCTGAACGCATGGAATCGATGTACGGTTGATAGCATATTGGTAACTAATACAATTTTCAATGTGCAATAGCAAACTCTTTTTAGGACTAATTTTTATGCCCCAAAATTGGGACTATCCAACTAATCCGTCTACGTCAGATCGGAAATCAAATCCATCTGCCATGATTCTTACTGTTCACCAGATTTAGACACCACTTTTAATCAGTAATGTGGACAACCAAAGCAGTCGCGATAATTCATCGACATGGAGAAGAAAAAGTAAAAAGCTAGGATAGTGCACAGGGTCACGCCATTTTTAACGGGTTTCCACTTAAAGATATTAACCCAGTAAATTTTAGTCTCTGTCTTTGGCCACAGAGGAAGTTTCAAAGCCATTCCTGAATGTCACCTGTTACTTCGAATCTCAAAAGCATTTGCTAAAGACGTTAGTGATAAACCTTATGAAATGCCTTGCTAAAATCTATAGATATCGATGAGGCCATTCTTACACTTACTTTGGCTCTCAAGTGACCGCTCTGGTCTGATAATATTATTTGAATTACGCGTTTTGTTTTATTTGGTATAATATCTTCTCCCTCATATCTTCAGAGTACTAGTTTCCAGATCCCTTTCATTTGGGTTTATCCTCAAACCCATTTAATAAGTCCTATTAACTAAGCAATATGTACTCTTAAAACCTCTTCTGGCAGTACATTTCTGATAGCAGATTGAACTTGCTCCAAATCATATACATGTCTTTTAACAGGGTAATTTATTTACCGCCCCCCGGATTCCAAATAGTTAAACCATCCAACTCCAGAAGGTTAATTTTCTCTTGAATCAGTAATGTCTTACTTGATTGACAAAACATGCAAAGCCAGTTGGAGTTAGGCTTCAAGCATATTCCATATGCGGCGGGATTTAGATGCATACACATCTTGTGGAACCGCTGCTTCGACTCGCTACATTTTATTTCCTTCACTACATAGACGAAGCAATTCGGCAATCCAAATTTATGGTAAGCGCTGACTATTTTAAAAGTATTTATAAGGGAAACAATCTAAAAAACACGAGAGATAACCACTGGTATGTTGATCAACTAAAAAGATGCAACACAAAACAGATTCTAAGAAAATTTAGAACCTTAAACGAAATAGTTCTAGTGAAAGTCGACTGAGTATGCTTTTGATGCAAGAAATTCACAAAAGCAAAGTCAGTTTACGGCAACTATTAAATCGTTCCCCGTAATTAAAACACGCGGCGATCAGTATGACGTAGACGAGATTATGTACATCGGTTAAATTCATTGTCCTTATTCATCTCTCAGTAAAGCCAATCAACCACAGCAGTTTTTTTAAAAAAACCGACAGTTATTCGGAGGTTGATATATTTTTAGTATAAGTATGCACGTTTATTTGCGCGGAGCTTTGAGATTTCTGACACCAATATATATCACGTTATTGGTGTTAGGTCCTGATAAGCATAATGAATGATAACTTTTGGGATTCATTTGTAGACCGATACTATGCGTATATATTTCTCGTATTATTGTTAGATAACTATTCATATTCATGTCCATCTTATTATGAGCTTTTTTGACCTATGAACTTGTAGAATTATGGTCCACTATGATATTAGTTCTGCTCTAATGATAGACCTAATCCTTAAATTGTAGATTTGTCATGATATAACTGCTTAATTTATAAGATCTTACGTGGAAGTCACACCATCGACTACACCAACTCACTGTATCGTATCAACTACCATTACATGATGTAGAACAAGGTTAGGCTAGAGAAGGAACAATATATTTAGTATGAATAGAAGATGTAAGGTAACATTCAGAGGGACCACGCCTGCATTGCCAAGCCATGTCATTCGATCAACTCTAATTCCTTCAATTCATTGTTCGCGCCTTCTCCATTCTTAGGTATTTCTCCGTGTTAAATATTGAATACCTATTTTCTGAGTAGTCTTGTGTTCAGCTTTGAAGATTGTGGGGTTATAGGCTAATGCCACTACAAACTATTGTTATACGATCTACCATTCATGAATTATGCCCTGTCTATAAATTACTACCTATCAAACTCACAGCCACTTTGGGCTACATTTTGTGCAAATATGGTTTCCTATTTTATGGCACGTTGTGGTCTGCCTAACAACGCCTGTAGCTCTCATAGGGTTACTGCCGATCCCAAGCCCGGGTAAAAGAGGAGGGTTGGGCATGGGGTTGGCGTCCCCATCCCGTAGAAAACTAACTCGCTAAAAAAACGCTTACCAGAAAAAATAATCCAAACCATTTAAACTCTGACCTGGGAGTTAGAAGGTCTTCATTTAGAAGAATTATGACGCTTCATGGTGAAAGCCGAGTTCCTTCGGAAGCCACGAGGCCGATGCCCCTTCTAACAACCAGAGCAAAAATTTTTATAGGTACATGGAACGTTCGAATAATGTGGGAAACCGGGAAGACCAGTCAAATAGCAATGGAAATGAGGAGATACGACTTAGCAGTACTGGGAATCAGCGAAACCCACTGGACCCAAGCTGGACAGAAAAGGCTAGCTACGGGAGAGATGCTGCTATACTCCGGTCACGAAGAGGACA